CGGGCCGAGGGTCCCCAGCCGGGCGCCGCGCCCTCTCCCGCCGCCCGCGTCCCTTTGGAGCCGCTCGACTCCTTCTGGCTCCTGACCACCCCTCCCCGCCCATGCCCCCCACCTCTGTAGCCACCGAGACCCCGTGCACTGGGCGGAGATCGTCCCTGTCGTGCAAGAGCTCCGGGCCCCCACCCCCCCACCCACCGGGCCGCGGTTCCGGGGTGGCTGAGCCCGGGCTTTCCCCAGGGGGCTGGACCCGCGGTCAGGCCTTGGCAGCCCCCACACCCTCTGGGACTCCTTGTGAGGAGGGCGTGGGCGGAGACCGTCCTGTGAACCCCCTGGTCTTCGCCTGACCAGGCTGGAAGGCGGGTGCAGGTTCCGCATTTCGGGGGGACTAGGGGCGCCTCAGACCCTGGTAAGTCCTGGGGGCCTGGGCCTGCTTCTCCACAGGGCCTGCCTGGAAGTTCCTGGTGTGGTTTGTTGGTGTGGTGTTTGGGAGAACACCGTGGGACCCAGGAAGCCTCAGAACTGGGGAGGGGAGCCGTGTATTCAGAGCCTGAGGCCTGCCCCTCACCCTCTGGCCTGTACTTCTGCATGCCTCCTCCTGCAGGAAGCTCTCCTGGATGGGCACTTGCCACCATTCTGTGCTCAGGCAGCTTGGCAGATTTGAGGGGTCCCTGAGCCCAAGAGCCCCCGAGCTTCCTGCCATGTCATGTGCTTTTCTTCCCAGCAACTTGGAAAAGGAAGGAAGGATTCTATCTGTGCCTGCCATGGCCTGTGTGGGGTCAGAACGGGGGTGAAGCTGGGCCCCAAAGCTCATGGAATGTTCTGGGGTGTGGAGAGCTCCCTGGGCCTGTGCCTACCCTGGGGCACTCCCCCTTTCATGTCTGATTTCAGCCGCGGTGCTCCCTCCCTCCTGGGGCTGGGCCCTCTGGAGGGAGGGGGAACATGGCTGCCCAGAGATGGAGGATCTCAGCCTGACCCCATGCCCAGATGTTACCCTGGCGTGGAGGAGAGATTCCATCTGAGAGTTGGACGGAGGAGACTGGACATCCCT